ATTTTCAGGATTTTCATTTTCCAATGTATTCTTCAAGAGTAAATACTTTGTTTCAATTTTCATTTTGAACTATAAACATTAATATGCAATATGTAATAAATAAATCTATAAACATATAAAATAAGAATTAATGTATGAAAATATATTAATGGAAATATAAAAATATATTATTTATAAATTGTGTTAACAATCCTTCATAAATCCATCCTAACTTTCTCATGAAGTCCAAAAAATTATAAAATTACCATAAAAAAATATAAAATCTTATTTTGTCTTTCGAAATGGCCGCAGTGATGTCATCTATGAACGTTTTCCAATTTTCGAAAAAATCAGCTGATTTTGGCGTGATTTTTCAGCTGATTTCTCAGCTGATTTTTCGGCTGATTTTTCAGGTGATTTTTTTCAGCAAGGCATACATAAAGTACAGTGACATACATATACACTGATGTATATATGTCAATTTACATATGTACAGCTATATTTCTTGAATTTGAACTGCTAAAAATGTCACATTTTCATAAAAAGCTATTGAAACTTCTCCATAGCTTCATTATGAAACACTATATTGGGTTGCAAAGATGTAATTGCACTCTACATATACTTTTTTCACTTTCAAAAAAAAATGTAATTATTAGCCATTGGAAAATCAAGAAGCAGTCAGCAGACTGTTGTTGACATTTGATCCGGGCTCGCGCACGAAGCTGAGAGAGACAGAAGATATGCCGAAAGCCACGTGCTGCGAGTGGTGGCGTTACTGTACACCTATAGCCATGTAAACAAACAAATTTCTGCTGGATATATTCTAATCAAAGAAAAAAACGAGTACCAATAGATGGCGTTACCGACTTATGAAAGTCCGGAGATTCGTGAAAGAACGGCAATGTTTTTTTTGAGTCGTTTTATTAATTTTTGCTGTAATAATCATGAAAGTATCGGTACTAAATAGGCTGTACCTCTCGATAAAATTTAAATTTAAAAATTCTGATTACGGCACTGGAAAGCTGAGAAAAAATCCTATTGAAAAAGTCAGTAAGCAAAAAAATCAATTAATTCGCTAATTCGCCCTTAGAAAATTCGAATACGCGACGTCTCGACCCTGATAACTTGACCTTGCGACAACTTACCCTCAAAAAAAATACTCAGTAAAAACGTAAAAAGGAACCCCAAGTAACCCAAAACCCCCAAAAATTTATACTGTATCTCAAAAATAACCCAAGAGTTTATACTTGAGTTAAACATAAATCGCCGCTGCCTACGAAAACAATCACTTTTGAAAAATAACGTAACGCAAAATAACCAAATAACGTTTATGTGAAGTATACATCAAGCGGAATATTTTGCTTTTGCAAAACCATGAAACTATTGGAAAACGAGCATGCTAAGTAACCCAAGTGCTACGTCGTGGACTATTATGTTAGAGTAACTACACTGCACGTTATTATGTATATGGGTATTATTATAAAAAAGTTGATAGTTCAAAAAATACAACAGAAACTATGTACTTTTGAAGAGTACATTGAAAATTTCAGTTCTCTAGGTCCATCTCTCTTGGATCTATAGGAGTTCAAAGTTGAATTTTCATTTTTCAAATTGTTTTCTGTTTTTTGGGGTGGAATGACAAAATTGTTGAATCATAACTTTTGATGTAACATATGACAAGGAATTCAGATTTGCTGTCAAAAATTCATATTTATAACCTTAAACCCCATTAAAAATGCGAAAAGGCTTAAATGTCAAAAAATTAATTTGTTCGTCTCCATTGATTAGGCAAATATTGCAATATGTTCATCGATACATCAAAATACAACTGAACAATTTTGGTCATCGGTTGAAAATCAGAGATAATTTATAAGCTGTCGAAAGACCTAAAAGCATGTAAAGTTCATTCAAACCATCGCCTGCCGCGTCACGTTTTTCGCTACTTAATTGTTAATAACTTTGGAACCGTTTGAGTCTCCATCTTGAAATTTCGCACAGACTTTCGTTATTAGATTATCTTTCGATCACAATTGCTACGAACAAGATCGAAAGGGATATACTTATTGACAAATCAAATCAACTTCAAAGTCTATAAATAATAATGACACCATCGGAAAGCGATGACAAAAATCTATTGAAATGGTTATAAAGATTATTTTTCCAGCTCCATTTACGCCGAACATGGCGAGTTACAAAAGTAGCACTACATTAAAAATTGACCCGCGCGCGTACTCAAAGATCACGCGCTAAAGACTGCGCATGGTAGCCACGCCCTCGTGCTGCATGGCCAGCAGCACAGGGTGTGTGCGATAGCTATGCAAACTCGCTTTCAGTGCAGTGCAGTGCAGTCAACCTTGAGCCACGAGAATACGAGCGAGCCGAGCCAGTTGAAATCATCTAGGTCAATGCCGAGAATCGTCCGCCAGGCCTACGTATCTTATTTGTAATTAGTTGAGTAAACCTAAGTGTGAGTCAATCATTGTATTTAAATGTATGAATGCCCATGAACCCATAAATTGTCGTTCTGCGAATATACCAAGTAATAACATCTACCTAATACTCAGATACCTATAATATATAATAGATACCTATAATTCCTCATTGTCACTAGCCAGACTAAGATCCATATAATTATTTACTTAAACCACATCTCCTGATGTTACAGTGTGCTTGTGTTCACCGCAGATACGCTTCACACGTAAGCCGCGTGTACGTGGAATGCCTATGCTGCTTATCGATGCGCACATATTCTTTTAGCTATTGTCGATACATTATATTATTATATTTACTGTGCCTGAGCAATACGTGCAGGTGGTCTAAAGAATTTACAATTAGTGAAAGGAACCGCACCGTAAGCCATCACCTATATCTTCCGTATATATTGACGGAACTGAAGCAATACAGGTTGGTACGATGGTTAGTAGTGGAGCTTTGAAGTGAACCTATAATTTGGTGCTATTTTGCCGTAGGCAGTTCTGATTTTTGAAGATGGAGAACATAAGTACCCCTCGCTCGTCTCCGTCAGCGATTGTCATACTTCCTTAAGGAGATCCGTACCCCAGCCAAAAATCTCATCATTTGTAAAAATTTTATCCTATTTTTGGTAAAGATTTTTTCACCCTTTCCATTGCATTTTATAAACTCTGAAAATTTGATTTCCCACTGAGATACAGCATTTTCCGTGAACCTTTTGCGTTTACTTTGCGTGTTAACCCATTAAGGAGGTACCTCCGACTACTACTCTAGTCAAGTTTTCTTAGTCGCTCGTATGGTAAAAGTAACTAGAACTAACCTAACTAAAAAGTCCCTAGGCAGGTGCGTCTGCTCGTTGCTCACATACTACATTGGTTAGCTTTTGTATGCAGGTTATGTCGCTCGTTTACTGTCGACCGAGATTTGCACTGAATATCACTAGAATGTTCATTCATACATAGTTTTCAACTAATTTTGCACAGTACTCATGTAGTGAAAGTTTACGCAAATCCGTCTTGTAAATTATGAGATATGCCAAAATTATCGTCATTTGCATCAGAAACATTGTTAAAATGTTTTACTCATATCTCTGAAACTAAGTAATGAAATTGTAATTTTCCAGTTATAATTGTTAAATAAAGTAAGTGCAGATGCCTTCCCAGGTAAAAGCACTTTAATATAAAAAAAAAAAAAAAAAAAAAAAAAAAAAAAAAATTGCACCAAATTTTCACAGTGTTCACGTTCTCGTAATTTAGTTTGGTTCCGTCTTGTAATTCTTCGACGGAGGTACCTCCTTAAGTCCGGGATTTATTTTTTCATATTAACTCCAGAAAATCAGAAATGCAAGCAGAATATCACCGGAAAAAGAAAATTCAATTATAAGAACCTGAAAATCCAACAGGGATGGACCTAGAAGGCTGCGACTTGCAGGATTTTAACTTTTCAATGTACTCTTCAAAAGTACATAATTATGGAAAAAAATTTTTTTGACCATCACGCTAACTATGGCTTAGCCCATATATTTTAATTTTCCAGTCGCCATTTTTGTACTTAAAATCATACTTCACTAATTAGAACCATCATAACTTTAAGAGAAGAACCCTTAGACACTTTATTCGTACCGAAGACGCTAGGATTTAAAAGATTTTCATGTGAAAATTCGAAAAGAAGAAAAAATTTATTTTCCGAAATCACGTTTTTTGGATAAAACCATCCATAATTTTTGACCTGTTTGTTATATCGAAAATCTGACACCGGATTCGGAAAGTTTATTAAATTTTTTCGTAGAATATGCTTACTCGCAAGTTCTCCAGACCCCATTTTCAGCAAAAGTACAATGGTTCAAAAAAGTATCAAAAATGTGTCCGTCCCGGACTTAATGGGTTAATTTTTTTCTGTTGCGTTTTCTGGCGAGTTATGTTTTTGATCACCTGTCTTGAATTTTAGAGCAAACGAAAGGCTGTGAGGCTCCACTGAAGGTCTCCTTTTTCTCATATCATATTAATCTTATATCTCGTTAAATATTAAGAATGCTTCGCATAAATATTTTAATTAATGGCCGCCATTTTGTTAGTAAAAGTGGTTGAAAAAATGTATAAAAATTCACTAAGTTACTTGACATTATTATCTCTGATAGTATTTATACTTTGAGTTTTTTACCAAAACATTTCGAAAAAAATTCTCAAAGTCAATGTCTCGCACAAAATTTTACTGGTCCGACTCATAAAATAGTCCTATATTAGAACAGAAATCTCAATAAAAAATTATATTAAGATATAATTGGTGATTTTTCTGTGTTAATTTTTTATTGATTTTTGATTATTTTATTGCAATTTAGTGGAAAAATTCGAAAATGACATAAATTGTACATCTACAATCAAATTATTAGGATATTTGAGACTTTTTATTGGTAGAATTCATCACGTCGAAAATAAGAGAAAAATGAGGAAATAATGAAACTGAAGGTTTCAGACGATTACTTCAATCCATTTGAAAATTTTAAGATAAAGATATTTTTTTAATAGTACAAAATAAAATGTATACTATACCTTGTCCTTGACATTTAGAAACATTTTTTTTATCAGTTGACGATTCACACGTGTCATTGAATAATCTTATATCAAGTTTACCAGTAATAGCACCTTCCTCATCACTAACATGACTATAGTATTTATTATCTAATAGTAGAACACTAGGTAAGCTAAGACTTTTTACACTTGGTATTTGGTCTGAACCCGATTGCAATGAGAAAAAGTTTAACAGTGTAGAGGGAGCATGCTTTAATCTTTCTATACTTGAAACGTCATTTTGAATAGATACCTGTAACATTATATAAACGGAAATGAATTCAGCCTAAAAAAAAACGAATTAAGTTTCTGATTCCTTAATAAATTTCATTTAAATAACGGCAATGCTACTCATATGAAAGTTTGTCCCTACGTATTCGGTTTATTTTTGTTTTTATTTAATCCATCAACGCACAAAAGTGCAATTTTGTTCATGAATTTCAAATTGTAAAAAAATCTTCACTTGCAAATCCATATCCAGGGGTTTTTGGGTATGCTTTTTCAAAATCCGGTGTGATTTTTGCGATAAATAAATATTAACATCAATTATTTTGGAATTAAAGAAAAAACGTGATTTTTTGACTTAAAATTTTTTTTCACAGTCGATTTTCTACCTTGCCCTGTCTTCGCAGGGTTGCCATAACACCAGCAATCGTGTACTTTTTTTCTGAACCTTCAAGAAACGCGTTATTCAAAAACTCCAGCAACATTTTTACTTTACTTTTTGTCATTATCACAAATGAGTCATCTACATATCCTCTATAAAACGAAATAGATTTCTTGTATCTACTTAAAAATTCTTTTTCCAAATCTTGTATTACCAAATCCAATATTATCGGTGACACCGATAAACCAGTGGGCATTCCATTTATTTGTTTATAAAAAATTTGGTCAAACTGAAAATACAAAGAGTCCATCAGAACCTCAAACCCTTTTAAAAATTCCTTAATTGGTAGTTGAGTATGACTCTTAATAACATCCCATCTATTCCTTATACTTTTTAATACCAGTTCGATCGGTATACTCGGATACATTGATACTATGTCTAAAGACACCATAATGTGATGCTTCGGCACTTTGACTTTTTCAATTTTACTTTTAAAATCCATGCTATTTTTTATAACATGTTCCAGCCTATTAAACGCCACAGTTACTACTTTTTTATAAAAATCTGATAGTTGAGTCACAGGACAATCCACACAAAATACAACCAGCCGTGCAGGAATACCTGCCTTATGTGTCTTAATTAATCCATATGCCTTTGCAAACATAGTATTCATCACGTTTATTTGCTTAGCCGAAATGTATTCGTCCTTTGTGCAATTTCTCATCAAGTTGCACATCCGGTTTCTTAACATCTTTATGGGGTTTGAAGACACTACTTTACATGTTTTTTCATCATTTAACACATTTTTTACTTTTTTCAAATATTGTTGTTTCTCAATCAGTACAGTACAGTTACTTTTATCTGCTTGTGTAGCTATTATATCCGTATTTGACTTCATAAACTCCTTTGTTTCCTTATACATATCTACTACAATCCTATCATTCTAAAGAGTTTGATGATTTTTCGATAGAAAATTTTTCGCTTGATTCACAAATTTTAATCTGACTCCTTCTTTTTGTTCTTCAGGTACAGATACCATATTCTTCTCTAGATCTTTCATAAATTCAAAAACTTGCGTTTTTTTTATTAACAAAATTCCGATTTTAAAAACCCTTACCAAGTCGTAAGACATCTTGGACATTTTTAGGAATTACTTTATAGGTCAGATCGCAGAACTGCGGATCTTTATTATAACTAAACCCTGGTAGCTCTTTATGTCCATTTAAAATCATTTCTTTATTTCTTACATTGTGTTTTTCTTTTTTCCACCGCTGTATCTTTAGATCATTCCGTCTACTACATATTTCCTTCTGCCTAAAAATTTTACTTTCAGTATGCTTATTTATTTCAACCATACACTGCACTGAAATCACCTTACTCAGATCATCATAGATTCTGTCCATTTTTCTATTTAAGAAATTCAAATGGAAGTGTATATCTTTAAGCATTAAATTGAACAACGATCTTTGGATAGCCTGGCAAAACCCTGCCTTCTTTCTTCTAGACCACTCCGAATAAAAATGCAAATTCATAACATGATGTCCTTTGTTGGTCCACATACCTTCTCTTTTCAGTTTCAATAAAAAATCTTTCTTCGCATTTACTTTTTCAATTTCTTGAGCTTACCTACCACTATTATCATATTCTTCATCTACCATATTCTTCAAAAATATTTTTTAAAAACATTGTGTCTGACTTTACTGTAATACTGTTTATTTACTTAATTATTCTTTCTTCTCATTGAACGTCTGCGTATTATAGAATTTTTTCAAATTAAATTTCAATGAATGACAACAGACAAACTTCTCTATTTTTTGAGATTGCTCAACGTTTCGACTCTTGTTTTTTTTTCCTCTCTATCACTTCTTCGATGAGAAGGCCTGCAGGAGGCAATGAAACCCGCGCGCCGAAGAGATCCTTACTACCCCCTCCCTACTGTCTCACATTTTCCCAGGCCCGAGGCCCTGTGGAGCAAGGGAAACTTGGGTGTATACGTAAGTGCATATGCACTACACCTTCCTCCTCCTTCCTCCAGGAAAAACCAGCCCCGAGGCAGCCAGAGCACATTGGGTACTCATCCCACCGAATGGCAATCGGAAAAATTCGAATGCCCTCACTAGGATTCGAACCCACAGCTCCTCGAACGGACACTGACTCGACGCCTAGCATTTGAAGGTCAATCTTAGAGAATTCTCTGAGTTTGACCTTCAAATGACCTTAAAGGTAAGGTCATAGAGGTCATCTGACTTCAGATTTGAATTCAGCATTCTCGAAAACCTATTAAGGAAATGTTTCAGATTTTTCAACCTTTTTTTATGACTTGACCTTTAAATTACCTTCAAATGACTTTAAATCGATCTGATTTGGATTCAGCGACCCAAAAAACATAAATTCCACTGGGTCCGGTCCCTGGAACTGAAGATTTTTTTTGTGTGCCTGTGTAATGAATCATAGCATCGAGGATCCGCACTGATCTGGAACAGATCATGAGGGCCAAATATTCTACGCTATCGAATGTCTTAGCCAGATCTAGAATGGCTATATTAGATGGTTTGACCGTTTGATATAGGCTGCGAAACAGTAGATCGAGAAGGATGACATTATCACCACAGTCATCGATGCCAGAATAGAAAGCCCACTGTTCCATGTTAATGAACATAAGGAAACCGCACGAGAGAGGAGGTTATAGTGATCGGTATGTACTCAGATGTATCAGGAGACCCGGCCTTCTTAGGTATGAAGATCGTTCTGGCATGAGTAAGGCATACGGGTAATTTTTCACTCAGCTAGATGAGATTGAGAATGCGGACAAAGATTGGAAGTGGGATGGCACGCAGTTGACGCACAGTCAGGCCGTCAGGACCAGGACACATCGACATTGCCAGTTTAGCTGCCGTAAATGAGATCGTCAGAAGCAGTGACCGTGGACAGCTGTGTAAAGACAGTGCGCCAGTATAGCCCATACGAGCCCGAGGCGGTAAAGGTGTTTTGTTGGCGACGCCTTCTTGTATAGAAGCAATGCATCTGCGCCTTGATGTTTTCCAATGCTGCTGAGTGGCGGCATACTCCCTCCTTCTCGCCGCTTTCTCGGAATCCTCTGCACAAACCGGCTCTGATGGTTAGAATCGGGAATTCTGGCAGAGCGGTTGAAGGATAGTGACCGATAATAGGTGCTGATTTTTCCACTTATGCCCTTGAAAAGTCTGAAAGATACATCGATAACAAGCTAAAAACGGAATATTATGCCGTATTAGCGTGGCGATATATTTTAAAGTACATATCGATTTGTAACAAATTTTGTCATTGTGTGCTGATTTTTTAACTTATGCCATTATGAAAAGATGATAGTTTGGCACTGATCGAGTCTTTATCTAGCTAGGCATAAGAGCACCTAGTGTCTTTTGGTGTAGATCGATATGGTCATAATGTAAGAAAAATCCACGATTGTGTGCTGATTTTTAAACTTGTCAATGCAAGGGATGACATTTTGAAACTCATAGAATACATAAAAAATAATAGCATAAGTGCCAGTAGTAGATAGAAAAATCTAGACTTTACGAAAGATGTAAAAAATGTTTAACCCGAAATATTGTACAACTTTCTTAGAGTCTAGATTTTTATATCTACTAGTGGCACTCATGCCATTATTTTTCATGCATTCTATGAGTTTCAAAATGTCATCCCTTCCATTGGCATAAGTTTAAAAATCAGCACACAATCGTGGATTTTTCTTACATTATGACCATATCGATCTACACCAATGGACACTAGGTGCCTAGCTAGATAAAGACTCGATCAGTGCCAAACTATCATCTTTTCATAATGGCATAAGTTAAAAAATCAGCACACAATGACAAAATTTGTTACAAATCGATATGTACTTTAAAATATATCGCCACGCTAATACGGCGTAATATTCCGTTTTTAGCTTGTTATCGATGTATCTTTCAGACTTTTCAAGGGCATAAGTGGAAAAATCAGCACCTATTATCGGTCACTATCTCCCGGTCTATAAAATATATCATCTCTCGAAGATCTAGTGAGAGAGAGCAAAATCGCTGTCAGTCGTACCGCCTGGGAAAAACTATGTTTCTTGAATTATATCTAGCTCAATAATGAAGTTTTTTTGTCTGCTGATGACCAAAATTGAGGTAAAAGGAGTTTTGGATAAGTCGATGAACATAGTACAATATTGGCCTAATCGAAGGAGACGAACACATTTATTTTAGAACTTTTATGGGGTTTTGAGGTCGTAAATACGATTTTAAATTACTTATTTGAATTCTACATCCAATTTTACATTAAAAACCACGATTCAACAATTTTTTCATATCACCCACAGAAAATCAGAATTATAAGCACAATAATACCAGAAAAAGAAAATTCAACCTTAAGACCCTGTAGATCCAAGAGAGTTGGACCTAGAAGGCTAATATTTTTTGGATTTTCACTTTTTAATGTACTCTTCAAAAGCATATAATTAAAAAAAAAGTTTTTTTGACCATCTTGAAATTTCGAAATAATGCTCAGGAAATTAATAAAATAATACCTGTGATCTTGTTTCCAGCATTTTATAAATCGAACAGCAAATTTAAAAATTTTTTGATTTATGGGTTTCTGGTAATTTTACGTTCCTTAAAGTATAATGGACAACTATTGTATTTAGGATAAGGGAATGCCTATTCAATGCAAAAAATTTTTTTCAATTGCGGGTTCTAGTTGCTGGTCAGAATAAATAAATATATTAATAACAGACACCTTCAGAAGTTCAGGATTTCCGATTAAAACATTGTGAACAATAAAAAGAATTGTCAAATTAGAAAAAATTTTTTTTCTTTTTATAAAGCTTTCACTCCATAAGACTTAAATTTTTTAGTGACTTCAGTACAGCTATTAATTTCAACTGCAAATCTGCCTATGAATTGTCCACCGTAAGTATAACGTCCGGATCATAATAAAAAAAAATTAACAAATTTTATAGTGATGGCAGAACAATGTGCTTACGCTTAACCGTAAAGAAGTATGCAGGCCCGTTGTTCAGCCCGAGCAAAAGTGAAATAAATTACGCTATTTATTGGAACTTATAGTAATAATCACCGTTCGGTGGTCGAATTTTACGCAATTAGACGATGCGACTAAACTTAAAGAAAAAAGTGTAATGAGTAATTCGGTGCTACTAATCTCCGCTAGCTAGTCATCTGTTCTAAGTTAAGAAAAGATCATACATTGTGTTTGCACGTGCATTTTTTAATTATCAATGATCAATTTGGTATCGCAATTTTTTTTGCATTCAAGTATCACGGGGTTTGTGTAAGAAGGTATGGGAAAATCTCACAAACGTTTGACCGACTTGTACTCGAAGTTGATTTTTTTATCATAAGCACAATGATGAAACTTTGCAAGCCATTGGAGAGATGATTAGTTAAACATTGTACAATTTTAACAGTGAACATGATTGCGGAACCTCCCTTCAATAGTTTTGTATTAATAAATGCGTACAATCTCAAAAATTTATTTGTAAAATTTTTAAACATAAAAAAACTGGTATATTGAATGTTCAAATGACTGACACCAGACTCATTTCTTTGTTAATTCGCTTGACGTTTCGACTTATTACCACAAGTCATCTTTGCAACTCGCAGTAATAGTATATTACTGCCCTAGGCCGGGAAAAATAGAAAAGTCCCAGGGCACGTGAAATAAGCGACCGAGGCGAAGCCGAGGTCGATTAGCACGTGCACTGAGGCTTTCTTTTTTCCCGGTATAGGCCAGTATACGATTTTACGTACCCCGGGCCCGAAAATAGCAATATCCCGTTTAGCGCAGCGGCCGGGAACTGCTACTTTCGGGCCGCTGGTACGTAAAAGTACTTAAATACACCTAGAAGAAAAAAGTAACCCATTATTTAGATTAGAGTGGAAAAATAGTACTTTACGATACAAATGCCATAAGTAACATTTTAGCACTGCGTAGTTTAGGGTCCGAGCGCAGCGAGGGTCCTAATAGCTGGGCTGAAAAGCCGGCTGCCATTAGTCGTTTTCGGTCGTGCGTGTGTTGGCGCGCATCACCGCATACGCGCGGACCGCCCCATTCGTTACTCGTCGCACGCGCGGCGGATCACAGCGCCACTTCTTTACTCGTCGTGTACGTGGCGATTCAGCGCCACTTCTCGATTCATCGCGTGTCGCACGTGTGTTCCGTGCAGGGCATCAAGGCTCGCATACTTATATTAGCGTACATTGCTGTATACGTGTGCATGTCGAGTTGTGCCGTAGCGCACGTGTGTCGAACATTGGCGTTAGGCTTCTTTTACGATAGCGATCAAGGAACAATGGAACGAGTAAATACAAATCAGTGAAACGAACTGAGCGGCGATAGAGTATTTTGTTGCCGAGAGCATACCACAGGCCCTGCGCGGCCAAAATCGACTGATTTACCTACGAATAAATTGAATAGTAGCGATAAAAATTAAAATCATTGTCGTTGATTATTTTTCGGATCTTGGACTCAGAGTTGAACCCGAACCCCGTTTCTTTCAGCTAGCGACATCTGATGGTAGGTCGGTGACGCGAGTCGAAGCTCGCGACTTGATTGACGACGGCCCAGACTCCCCTTTTTATGAGGTACAACAAAAGTGCTCGAGCTTGCCCTGAAATTAAATTGATGACGAAGGAACGAGGAAGGACAGTTGCTGTCCCAATTCCGCCCCGTCGCAATATAAAAAAGAATAAATAGAATTCGTTCGGGATCTTATAGATTTGATAAACATCATGAAATTTTTCAAATTATCATTCACCGAATTATTATTTTATAATAATTCATCAAAAAGCAATAAAATGGAGGTCAAAGGTTTGTGAAATTTTTCCATATCTTTTCACGAATTTATCAGGGATGCGATCTCGTACAGACTTCTCGAGTCTGCGCAGTAGCGCCGACGCGTCATTGGCCGAGCGAGGTTTGAACGGTCAGGCCGCGCGGCGTAGCGGGAGTGAATGGGAGAAGCGGTGACTGTAACCCAAAGCCGGGGGACCGGGCACTGCTTTTATATAACTTCGATTGGTACTCTCCCAAATGTAAGCGTGGCACGGTCGGTAGGGAGAGCGCCCGGTATTCTTATGCTCCCGGGATCAATTCCTGGCAAAGTATCTTTTTTTATTTATTTTTTTTGACAAGTTACTAAGCTAAAAAAATGTTTGATTAGCGGCAGTCTTCCATACCATCCACGAGGTTCTGTTGTAGGCGCGTTGCTTTATTAATGTTAGTTTCAAAAATTTTCCCAAATGATGAATACCAAAAATATCAGAATTGGATGTCGCCGGCCGCCTGTTGTTTACGTTTTGAGTTCGCTACCTATTTTCCGCGAAATGTGCACGCCGACCGAGTTTGCAAACCGAGATCGAGTGCTATACGGCGAAATACAACTCTGATATTTTTATTACTTACTAACGCGCTTCATGTATTTATCATTTGGGAAAATTTTTGAAACTAACATTAATAAAGCAACGCGCCTACAACAGAATCTCGTGGATGGTATGGAAGACTGCCGCTAATCAAACATTTTTTTAGCTTAGTAACTTGTAAAAAAAAATAAATAAAAAAAGATACTTTGCCAGGAATTGATCCCGGGAGCATAAGAATACCGGGCGCTCTCCCTACCGACCGTGCCACGCTTACATTTGGGAGAGTACCAATCGAAGTTATATAAAAGCAGTGCCCGGTCCCCCGGCTTTGGGTTACAGTCACCGCTTCTCCCATTCACTCCCGCTACGCCGCGCGGCCTGACCGTTCAAACCTCGCTCGGCCAATGACGCGTCGGCGCTACTGCGCAGACTCGAGAAGTCTGTACGAGATCGCATCCCTGGTATTTATCCAGCTTTTCTCTTTCGATGAAACTTGATTGATTTGATTTCCTGTTGACTGGGATTGAGTCAGGCTGCTTGATTATTTCATCATTGTAGTGTCGGTATTAGGGTTTAAACTTAGCAATGATTGGCACGAATAACGGTTGGCCCAGTGCAGGCACGAGTTATAAGTCCAAGTGCTAGCTCGGAAGATTAATTTGTACCGCGGACGCCGCGTACGTCCTTGTCCGTAATATTCCAGGCAAGGATCGTCACTAAGCGGGCGAAGAGACAACACATTCGAGTAAAATATTATATAATATTTGTTGAAAGTTAAATTAAGTTAAGAATTACATTGAATAATGATCATAATCACGAGACTTGAGCAGCAGCAGAGCAGAAAGGGACTCGACAGAGAGTGATCGCGCGAAAGAAGGAGTTCCTACGTACAAGGTAGACGAAAGACCGCTGTCCAAATATATCGTCCGGTCGTAACCGCTGTAGACAAATTCCAACTGACAAGGATTGCGCGGCGTCGAATATCTCTCGAATTGGCCTCGTCAAACCACAGGTCTCGCAATTGTTGCAGCACGATGCTAATTCTACGATAGCTAACACAGATCTGAACTCGTAAATACAGTTCGTGAGTCCACAGAGGACAATTTTTCTACAATAAATCCTCGCGTGCTGCCATCATACGTGAATTGAACGATCGTTACAATTCAAGACCCAAAGATACTACGCGATGTAATTCCCAATATCTCGACATCCGCAGAGTCGCAAAGAGCTACACGCCGTAGCCGTTACACACGATTCAAAAAGAGTAAAGACCGAAAAAGAATTCTAAATCTTCAAGATTAATGCAAATAACTCCTAGATTTAGACTCAGAGACCCCAAAAATTCAGACATAATATACTATTACAGTTCTTCAGAACAAAATTTTTTTCTTATATATCTTTTGTTTGTTAAGAACTTAAAAAAATACTTTAAAAAAATATAAATAAATTATGTAAAATGTACATAGAAAATTATTACCTTTTCAGTATCTTCACCTGTCAGAGTTTCAAATGCTGAACAACTCCATGATTTTGACAGTTGTTGTGGGTTTCTACTTTTTTTCAATTTACTTAGATTAAGTTTTGCTAATGACTTTTGAAGCAAAATTAATTCATAATGATTTAATTTTGCCTCCATTAATTTTTTTGATGTGCTTTTCGGAAATTGATCTTGTTTGTTTGATTCACGCCACTCAAACAGTAACTGTAAAAATTGTTTAAGGATTATGCATTTCAATAAGTTATTGTACAATATATGTTACTAGTATGTTTCAAAAGCACTCCGCGTGTGTCAATTTTTTAAATTCGTGTTTCGAGGTTAGTGTAAGGTTCAGAGATAGTAAGTATAAAACGAGCTTCGCGCGTTTCAATTTTTCATTCGTATTTTGTACTAACTGTCTGTTGACAATTAGCAGCGCAAGCGCTCGTATCGAGTCGGCTCGCACCGAGCGTAGCTGTCTGTGTCAGCCAATCAGAGAGGTAACATGTACTTAGAAATGTTTCATTACTTTCTTTGAAATGGTATTCGATAAGAAAAACCTACGCAAGGTTTATTTAAATACTGAACATTTTGAATTTGTTGAAAAATTTGGCCTTTTACACTCATAAGGACACTAGTCCAAAGTAAAAGTAAGTATCAGACCCACAGATAGTGACAAATTATATGTGCTGATCTTTTCATTCATGCCTTTGAAATGACTGAAAGGTATATCAATAACAAGCATAAAATCGGAATATATGACGCGGTAATAGAGTGGCTACCTATTTTTACACAAATAAAAAAAGACAATTATCGGGGACAATCCTTAGACTTATCCAGTCAGATTCATCAAAAATATAATAACATCGCACCGTTTCGTAGACTCATGTCTACCTCTTCAAGTACAAGTAATAACTACTCTTAACAAGAGCATGAGTCAATAATTTCAAATTATTCAAATACATACACCGTCTTAATGTCAAATTAAATTTAAAATTTTTCTTCAGCGGCGTTTAAGCCTTGAACGTTCTCTTTCCGGTTCAATATATCTTTGCAAAAATTTAAAATGTCAGATGCAACGCATTTTCTGTAGTCCTGCTCATGATCCAAAACGCAGATACCATCCCAGTCAGTTTTATGGCTCATGAATTTTGACTCAAGTACCGAAACCATTGATACTCATTTCTAGGCGTTTTTATATTCTTTAATTCTGGCAATTGAACTACATTTGATTTGACCCACATACACCGTTGGACTGGTTAAGCAGGCGATTTTCGATTTTATATTTTCAACATATTTATTAATTTAATAAATTTAACTGGGTAAGTCTAAGCATTGTCCCCAATAATTGTGTTTTTTATTTGTGTTAACCATGCGGGGTGTAAGAAACATATACTAAGTAACGGTGCCACTCCGGGCAAGACATGGCCCGTCTCGGTTTTCTTGAATGCTGAAATTTTGTCAAAGAGAATCGAAATAAGTAGCAGATATTCCTAATTAATAAAATGAAACGATAAGGTATTTATTTATGCACCAGTCACAAAGTTGACACCTTATCAGTAACCGAATTTATATGATATTAAATTAGGAATATAATGAACAATAATTACTTAATTCTACGACTCGACTTGGTAATAAGCGGCTTTATAAGACTTTTTACGGCGAGTGCGGGTATGGATTCGATGGAGGTTGATCGCGACACGATACGGGAGAGAGCGCACACTTGGAAGAGTTTTACTTGTAAATTTTGATTTACTGGGCCACTCATGTCCCTTACATACACAGAACAATAGTACGTTTGGCTTCCCTAGTGAATTCATCGGTGGTCACGTACAGAGTGTCAGACCCTGCCTCACACGTTCATAGTTAGACCCATTAGTAGTAAATAGCGCCGTCTACTTGATACACAGTCTCGCGATCGATCACCTAATCGACCTGACCTGATATTCAGATGTGTGTGTACCTCAGCTGCTCAATACACATTTACTTGAATGTCGCGATAAGGAAAGGAAAAGAAAGGTTTTAGTCACCCACCAGACTTTGCAGTGACCTTGTGACGCGGTAACATGCCACCGTGCTGCAATTATGAATACATTTTTAAATATTGTGACGATTTCACGAAATATCAAAATTACACGAACGTAAAGAGTGAATGTGCGAGTGGATTGCGCGACCAACGAGATCGACAAGGAAGGGAATGGATGATACCACCTCAGCGTGTGTTCGAAGTGTAGGGAAAAGGAAGAACCAAAACTAACTTCAAATTGGTTGCTCGGGCCACGTTTCCTGAAGCGTAATTACCAAATACACGAATCGAGCGCTTCGCACGCTGATGTTTTGTGAAGGTGCGTGTCAGTGCACATCAGTTTCGCAATCGAACTGTGAACACGTGCGGACGTGTGAGAGGTTAGATGAGAAGTCGCTATTGAAAACGGAAACGTAATGTGTGAGAGAGTTGGACCTTGGACGAAGTGAGGAGTTGTACGCGCAAAATCTGTGTATGCAGAAGTGGAACGTAGTGTTCGTGTTCGCCGTGAAGCTGTGTGTGAGGCGAGGTCTCTTAGAGTGTGCTGTCGAAGACATGTGACGTGTTGCGAGGTGACAAGGTGTATTTGTGAGTTATTCGTAAGGAAATGCGAGCCAAAACAAATCGAATACGCTGTGCAGCAGAAAGGGTTTCGATGGGTAGAAAGGCCAAGGCATTGAGCAGCGAAGTTAGTGAGATTGTGAGTTGAAAATTTTAATAGTGAGACTTGGTCGGTCTTGCGTGTCTTGAGTTGCACAGGCATCTTTCCGTATTTGCGGTTGTTGAAAAATCTATGTATATGTAAGTGCGATCCTTCTGATTTACATGTGTGTATACGGATGCAAACTGTACATCTCCTTATCACCGCACAGGAGTGGGGTTGCGTAGCCCACCGGCGAGTGCTCGCACGCGAACACGCTGATTTTTGCTATACACTGCGCAGAGCGCACATCATTTCGTACGTTAATTACTTATACCTATTTTACATACTACTTAATATATTATATTTTACCTTTATATATAATAAACAAAGTCTCTCTTTATTTCTCCCTACTACTTGCTGCTCCAGTACACGTTCTCATGTGAAAATCAAGGTGATTTTACGAAACAGCGGTTAATGCGTATCCAAAAAGTACCGCGACTATGGAAACCTTGGTCTTATTGGAAAACGGGTAATTGGTAGACCTAAATTGAGGTGATACCTGATTGATCGAAGTTTTACATGATTTTATTGTAAAAAATTGGGTAATTAAATGTAGTATAAAAAAAAACAGAGTATATTATGATTTTTAAAAATGGTCAGTTGATCGCGATTGTTTAGTATGTTTGTTGAAGTCTTTATAAGATTCTTGGTACGAAGCCATTGCTTGCTCACAGTCGTGTCATGTTCATCTGCTACTTTAAGTCCACTTTTCAGAAAATTTATAATTTGTATTCTATCAACGATCTACCTTACTTTTTTATCTCTTTTCTTTATATTTTTACGATTCGGGGAAACGATTTTTCAAAATTAATAGTAAAATTTCTTTCCAAAACAAATACACGTTTTCCTCGCGAAAGGAACCATAAAACTGATCATCAAACTTGCTTAAAATAAGATTTGTTTACATATTTCTGCTATCGAGTTTCTGTAAGAGTATTCTACTACCAGTGTAAACACGCAATTTCTTGTTATAATAGTCAATTATTCCAGAATTAAAAAAAATTTTTGCTCGTTATATCTTACTCGAAAATCGAAACCGTGGGTAAAAACCGCAAATGAATGAAACTGCATACGCTAATACGATGGGATATCCACATTTACAAAAACAAAGTAAGCGAAATCCACGAATATGGAAAGATGCCTGGATTTGGAATGAGTGTGGAAGTAGGAAGTCTTTTGTGTAAGTCGAATTGTGCTATACACATTGTTCTCTTTAAATTTTCGCGTTCAGGTAGTCGAGCAAGAACCCGCACAGACAGGTCACGCATTTCATCTCATAAAATCGCATATGGTGGTCGCTCAGTCGTCTGGATCAGTAGGATAATGATGTTCAGGAGAATGTTGTGGCCCCTTGTAAATGACAGGAACTCCGTTCTCCCGTGCAAGAGAAGTAATTGCTCGAGCATGACACTTTTTTTCGCAAGCGAATGCAGTCCCAATTCGACTTTTCTTTTTCAGGAATGTCTCTCGACTTATGGTACAGAAACCCATCAATAATTCATTTACTCCCGATTGAAATAACATTATTACTCAATGTAAAAAAACGAAAATAAGGTTATCGCAAAAAAAATGTTGAGCGATGCCGTGTCAACCCTTTACCTGAATTTGCGCATATATTATGCTTATTCGCGACATTAGTCATTCGTGAAGTGCGGTTCATAAAAATAGCTTTTGTTAATTATATCGCCGTTACTTACGAGTAAAAATACAGTGAAAAACGCTACGAAAAAAAACATACTGATAAAATGCCCCGAAAAAAACACAGCTTATTGAATGCTGTGAAAAAAAAACACACCTCATCGGAGCGCCACGAAAAAAAACACACCTCATTGAATGCCATGAAAAAAAACACAGCTCATTGGATGCTGCGAAAAAAAACACACCTCATTGGATGCCGAGAAAAAAAACACAGCAGAATAAAAGCGCAACAAATTTCGATTCGGTGTGTTTTTTTTCGCGGCATCCAGTGAGCTGTGTTTTTTTTGCGGCATCCAATGTGCTGTGTTTTTTTTCATGGCATTCTATGAGGTGTGTTTTTTTTCGCAGCGCTCCGATGAGGTGTGTTTTTTTTCGCAGCGATCCGATGAGGTGTGCTTTTTTTCGCATCGCTCTGATGAGGTGTGTTTTTTTTCGCAGCGTTCCGAAGAGGTGTGTTTTTTTTCATGGTATCCAAAGAGGTGTGTTTTTTTTTTCACGGCGCTTCGATGATGTGTGTTTTTAATCGTAAGCAACGGCGATATATTCGTGAAAAAAGTATTCGTAAGGGGATTATTCTTGAAACCGGTTATTCGTGAAATCGGTTATTCGTGAAATTTGATTCGTGAAAAACGACAGATGCCATTGAGACTCGTGTCAGGGATTTTCCAGCGTATTATACAATTTTAATATTGAGAAGTAATGTGAAAAAGGGAAGTAAGGCGTGATTGTAGTAGGGACTGTATGAATGAAATTTGAAAGAGTTGGAGTAAATAAAGTAAAAAGTATTTTGTGACCCTCTCACTTATTTTCAGCATTGGACTACCTAAGATCAAGGCGCACTTATAGTCGGCTCCACCCCTTCTCAGGTAAGATACTCGGATAGACTACCCGGAACCTCAGTAAAGAAATAATAGGACTGCATGGCTAGCATGGGCTGAGACCCAGACCCTCGCGCGTCTCAGTATTCATCCTTTTTAAAATAAACTTGAATCTTGTGTGTTGATTTTTAGTCTTATGTCATTATTGAAATATTATTCTTTAGCACTAATCAAATCTACACCTAAGTAAACATAAGGACCCTCAGTATCCTTAGATGTAGATTAATAGGGTCATAAAATAAGAAAAGCTCATGATTGTGTGCTACTTTTCTCACTTATGTCAATAAAATAGATGAAATTATGGAACTTATTGCCTTTTAACATTATAGATTTTACTAAACATTTGAAATATTTTTATAATTCACCTTTCCATAATCAAAACAATTTTTGGAAACTACATTGAGTTACCAACAAATGTACGTATGAGCGAGTGAGTGTGTGTGTGTTTTTTTTACGACATGGCGTGATATTACGTGATAAGCTCTTTGAAAAGTCTCAAATCGAGTCGATTTCAGCTAAACGAGACATTTTGTGTTCTTCAAATGGTACCTTCAAAGCGGCCTACCGGGCGCAAAAAATCGTACAAAACTCTTTTTTTTTAATTACTCGTAAGAAAGAGGACTTTGCGATTATGTATGTTTGATTTGGATAAACGATTGACTGTAATCTAGGTACACGTTCAAACAATCGATTTTTGTGTGACTTTTGGTGTTACGCTAAAGTGCGACTGGAGACTCGAAATGGACTCAAGCCTATTGATTTTATTTATGGCTTGAAACTAGAAAAAATTTTGAATAAAACTTGAAAACTCGTCTCGATACGAAATTGACGGAGATAAAAGCCTTTAGAAAGTAAAAAAAATTCAATGAAAGTTTTTGTTGCGATAATTTTGTTGCGAATTGTAAAAAGATATATGCACATACCTCAGTTGGATTAAATTCATTGGTACTTTTATGTTCTGGACTTGGTAAATTTTCAGGTTTCCATTCATTATCAGTTCCCTCAGAATCATCAAATTGTGACTTCCATTGAGATCCTAATGTAACGCCGCCACCTTTAGTAATTTGTTGAATAGCTGATAAATTATCGTCATCTATTTGAGCAAATTGCGTAAACGAAAAATCTCGTGCAATTGCTTTTCCACTTCGAGTGTATTGTCGATTATCAATTTTTCTTTTAACTTCTCGTCGAATATTATCCCTAAGATCATTTGCCTGTGACAAAATACGTGAAAAATAGTAAATAACTTGCAAATAATATTCATTTTTATAATTTTTCGTTACATAAAACAAAACATTTTCGGAATTATAGCTACGTTGGTCATTGCAGGCATATTTGGGAGCTTATTTGCTTGAAGATGATTTTTTCTTATGTTATTTAAATAAAAAATTCAAGAGCCTGTTGGGAAATAGACAGCGATTGATTTGGGCCGTATAAAGTATTAGAGACTTGTTTTTTAAGTGAAAACTGTTAAAAAAACTGTAGCAGATCGTATAAGAACGAGGTTGGGAAATAACAAACAGTCTAATGGATATGCAGTAATAAGCAAATAAAAGTACACTGCCCGTCTATTCGCCATACCTGAGCGGAAAATGAGTAAACTTCAAAGTTTTGTAACTCAGTCAAAAAAAAGTCAAATCAACATTTTGGATACACCATTCGAAAGGCATTTACAAGCTTTAAAGCTATATAAATTGTTATTAGGTTTATTTATTTATACCTTTTTTCACAAAAATACAGCCCTTTTACTGCAAAAATGACAATTTTTATTCATTCACATGTACACTGTGTTCAAGGAGGCGTAGAAAAACAATTTTATGTACAAAAAAGGTTGGTTTTGATATGTACAATGAGAAGCAATAGTTACGATCCCGTTTCTAAGAAAATTTTTTTTTTTCGGTTTTTTATGCGTGTTAACTTGCCAGCGCTCAAGGAGACGACATTTTTTGTTCGCGATCGATGCGATTTTTCCATATTAGGGCCTTGAAATGACTGCACATACACAATTTTATGTAAAATTCAATGCCCTTTCAGAATCTGGGCCTAAATTTGAGATTTGATGCTCAGTTAAAAAATTATTGTAAATGAATTGTTTATTTTTTATTTAACGCTTACAGTTACTGTTAAATATTAATACAAATGACTTATAGAACCCATGGGATCAAACTAAGAATACTAGGAATACTTAATGATTAGGTACCAGGAAGCCACCCAAAAATTTTGGTAAAAATTGATCCCCTACACCTGAGGTAGTCTTGTAGGTAATTTCATCTCTAAAATACGTTCCAACCGTAACAATGAGTAACTCGTCTAGTGATTTGAAGTGTTCTACAGTCTACGACGTAACCTTTTTCAATTAAAAAGAAACTAATAAAACTGCGAGAAGCAGCGATTGAGCGGCTACGCATGAATTACAACTTAATGTAGCTCGCGCATCTTCTATGCATAATTTTGATGACACCCACGACAGGTAGAAAGTAACATAATTTCGGACACGCATGGCCAGCGTAAGCAATGCCGAATTGAGCGGCCTAAATCCATCACCTATTTCTTATGCCTCTGCTAACAAACTCTTGCAAAAATATAATTCGCACGGCAAAGAAATGAGCATACATTGCCACGAATATGAATGAATATCTAAGAAAAGCTGTAAAACTACGGTGACCGTGACTTCATCGATTTCGGGAAGAGAAGGGCCCGGGGTCTTTTAATATACACGCGCATGCAAGATATGTGTCAATCATTGACCCATATCGAGCTAGCTACATACGCTGCAACCGCTAAGGTGGGGGCAAATTTAGGTATATATAAGCTACGAGAAAAGAGGATCATCAAAAATTATTTTTATTTTTCGAGTTTCCAAATGGAAACCATTCCAAATCTCAGGGTTTTTGTGCTAATATCGCGTCCTTGGTATCTAAACTAAAAAAAATGTTTAAATACAAAAAATGGCGGTCGAAACACGAAAAAATGAATGAAAACTTCTAGAATTTTTCTCAAAAACGAAGGACTTAAGAAAAAAGTTTATTTTTTAACTTTAATTTCTCCAATCTAAACCCCGCTAACTTTTAGTTTAGATACTGAGGACGCGATATGGTTTCCATTTCAAATCCGAAAACACGTTTTTTTTTTATAAAATCAAGTTTAACTTTTGACCTGATCTTTTTTTCAAAAATCTGAGATCAGATTTGGAAAAGGCCTTAAATTTTACATTAGAATTAGTAACTCGCATTTTTTTTACCCCATTTTCACCAAAAATACAAAGACCGAAAAAAGTGTTGAAAAAACGTCCTCTTGGTACTTAATGGGTCAAAAAATAACTTTATTTTTCAGACATTCCAAGCGTTAGTATTAATTTTTAAAGTCTCTAACGAAACATTAAATATTTAATAAGGAATGTCTTGTAAAAAATTGAAGACTCATTAAAATGACTAATAAATTTGAAATAAAAAACGTTCAACTTAAACTAATTTTGTTTTTTTTCATTCAAAACGTTAGACCTTAGGTCCCGAAAACTCTCAGAGCCATCATTAGGAAAACAAATAAACGTCTTAAAGTTAAATTTGATGGATGTAGTTTAGTTAAGACAACAATATTCGATATTTGCTCTAAAATCCGAAAAAACTTAAGAAAGTGCTTATTTTCGCCCTTTTTCCTCAATTTGAACGTTATATTCGTGTAAACGAATTTTTTTTTAGTATCTTAAACAGTAAAAGGGTAAAGTTTCTTTGTTATAAAACCCATAAAATTATCCTACAAAATTAAGAATAGTTTTATAACATTCTAATAGTACAATATTAAGTATAACATAGTTATATGGGGAAAAAACGGTTTTTTGAAAACGGGAAGGGTTGAGCTACTACTGTTGAGAGTTATGACAACGGACTTCTTCATCTGTAGTCCTAAACTAACTTTTTGAAGGGTGGGAGCGAGGAACGGATCACTTTGGGAAATAAGGACCACCCTAATATTCATATAGCATGTGTAGACGATACAAATTAAATATCTACAATGTAAGAGGCTAATTTCTAATTGGTTTAAAATTTAAAAAAAAAATTTGTTTTTAATAATAATGATCAATATAGTACATTAATCGGTACTTACAGTTTCAAAAAGAGGTAATTTTTTTTGGTTTATTTGTAAAATTGAATAGTTAGAAGCATCCGTTTCTTGTGGAATTTTCGAACTCACAGAGTCTTCGAGCACAGGTTCTGACATGGTGGAAATTCTGCATTTTGTAAAACTCATTCCACTGGATGATTTTCGAATAACAGATGTCGAGTTAACGCCTTCTTTCAAGCCCAACTTTTCCGACGGCATTCTATTACTTGTAACTAAAAATTCCTCCATTTCTACTTGTTTATCGATCGGCGAGCCATGAAATTTAGTTTCTATTGACATCGATGCTGTTTGGCGTTTTTTCTGAGAACCTAAAACTATGTAAATTGTTACTAAAATCATTTCTTTTTTCAAATCTTAAATAATAAAAATAATATTCTAACAAGAGTGTCCTAACAAGAACACATGAGTTTCAGATTTCAGATCTTCTTCAACTTCTTTTTGGGAATTAAATAAAATTTTAAAGGAGATGTTAAAAGTATTATACAAAAAAAAGCAATTGGCCTTGAAAAAATGCCATATTTTATTTTTGTCAAACGGTATAGTTCATAGGATTCTAAAATTGTATGAGAAAATCTTCATAGTGAAAATATGATCAGTTATCTGATGAAATATGTATCATAATCAATTCATAAACAGGAATTATAAATGTTGAATTATACTATATGAAAAAAAAGGAAATTAACAGAAAAATAATTGTAGCATAGTATTGGTAGTAGTGACATGTAAAGTTTATGCAATGATAATTTATTACTAAAAACATTAGTTAATTCATAAAAACTGCAAAAATATTCAAAAATGTATAGTCACTTTCATGGAATTAATTCTGATGTTGGAATGGAAGAATCCTTTTCTAATTATATGCCAACAGCATTTGCAGCTGTAGCGTCTAAAGTTTTATTAAATTTTTGTCCAACATACGAAATAGACGAAATTTTCTTCGAAAGCCATTGTAATATAAAATAACGCATACACGACATCATCATGAAAGAAAAAATATTTCAAAACAATAAAGTATGATTCATTATTTAAAAATATTTGTGACTCAAGGAATTTCTATTAATCCATTAGCGTCGGGACGGATGTTGTTTTAGACAATCCTATTTTGAATATCTCTATCATTAAGAATTTCACGAAAAACTATAAAGTTTATATTTTTTATGTGAAAGTTTAATTCTCTTTCAGAATCTGGACTCCAACAGTCCAATAGTTCTCCTGTCATGTCCAATAATTACAATATCAAAATCAAGCATCGCGGACATCAAAATCATTCAGAAAATACCCCTAAATTTTTTTCAGAAATTTCGGAGAAAACATGTGGGTTTTTAAAAAATGTCCAAATCCAATGAGAATAACATTTTCTCGTTAGAAAATTAATTAGGATTCCAATAAAATACTAGTTTTATGTTTTAACTTGAAAATCAATTATTTAACATGAAAATTTTAGACTTAAAAATGTTTTTAGAATAGTTCCATTAATTCCCTATCAATTTTTTCAGAATTTTTTGAGTCAAGTTATTCGATATCAGATTGAAATGAACTGAAATTCAAAAATAGCCATAAAAATCGGAATAAACTATCTAAGTTCAAATCCAAATAATGTATATGGGCTATATCATATTAACCGTGATAGTCAAAAATTAAAATGAAACAAATTACATTGAAAAATGAAAATCCTTAAATTTTCAGCCCTCTAAATCTACCCGCATGGATGTACAGGGGGTAGGGAGACAAAATCTCCAAAACAAAAGTTCCAATGCCAAAATGTCCAAAACCCAAAATTCAAAAAAAAGTCCAAAGGTACAAAAGATCCAATTATCTGATGTCCAACAAAATAAATATCCAAAGTTAATTTGCCCAACCCCAAAAGTCCAATAATGAAAAATGCATAGCTGCAGCGTATGTACACGTACATGTACATGCGTACATATATATATGTAACTATATATACGTAACTATGTTTGTTTATCGGCGTAGTTACCCCGTCACTTACGATACGATTTCGCGACGATCGGTCACGGTTAATCATCTCGCGGTCTATTTAAATTATTTTGTCGCGGTTAATTTGAATTATCGTACTTCGTTTAAATTTTACGTTACGCCTCCGTTTGTGTTTTCCGTTGTGTAAAATTTGTGTTAAAATTTTGTGATGGCTGAACAACCACCAACGGCTGAGCTTATCCACAAAGGCGGCACCACGTATCTTCACTACGATGGATTTTTATACCTGCGTCATTCTCGAAAAGGTAAGTCTCTCAGTCTATCTTTCTCGCGCTCTCTTTCTATATCTCTCGCGCTCTCAGTCTATCTTTCTCGCGCTCTCTGTCTATATCTCGCTCGCTCTCTGTCTATCTTTCTCGCGCTCTCTGTCTATATCTCGCTCGCTCACCCCCTCTCAGGTTCAACAAGTTATTGGAGATGTCAGAGAAAACCACAGTGTGCTGCTAAAATAACCATCATTCACAATGGGGATGACATCATCGTGAAGTCAGGAGGTGACGCGGAGTCTCACGAGCCGAACCATGCACCTAATCCAGAAGAAGTGGAGGCTTTGAAACTACTATCGGACCTGAAGCGTGAAGCACGAGAACATCCCGAAGCGCCACCATCGAGGTTAATGCGACGGTTACAGGATGCTTCCCCCGCTGTGCTGGCTCAGCTTCCTGATCGGATGAACGTCAGGAAGCAACTGCAGAGGGAGCGCCTCAAGGAAATGCCGTTGAACCCGGTAAACATCGAGGACCTGGAAAGTGTGCCTGATAAGTTCCGAAGGACGAAGATGGGTGATATTTTTCTTTTATATGATTCTTTTGAAGACGATGATTTTACTCTTACATGTGGCCGAATAATAATATTCAGCACACGTGAAAATTTAAAAGTTCTTTTCAGATCTCCCCTTTGGTACGTTGATGGTACCTTCAGCACCGTGCCATCTATTTTTTTCAGATGTTTGTTGTGATGGGTTCCGTCAACCAAGTGCACAAAGGAGTCGAGCAGACTATAGCATTGCCTCTCGTTTATGCTCTGATGGAAGGAAAGGAGCAGATTGCCTACGCAAAAATTTTCCAAATCATCAGTGACCGCGGACGCGAATTCGGAATCCAACTTCGTCAACCGCCTCGTATTATGTCGGACTTCGAACTGGCCATCATAAACGCAGCAGCAGAGTTCGGAGGAAATGTTCATCTATGCCTGTTTCATCTCTGTCAAAGCGTGTATCGCTTTCTTTGTGAAGTACGATTTTTTATTTTTTCTTTCGTTCTTTTTTATCAACTCACTTTTATTACTTTTATACTTTTCCAGGTTGGACTTCAGAGCGCCTACAAAAATCCAAAGGATGACTCCGTACGCACGGCATCAAGGATGATGTGTGCCTTGGCATTTGTCCCCGTGGATGACGTTGAAGAAGTTTTCGATCTTTTCAAGGAACAAGAACATTTGCCTGAAGTCTTTAGGATCAAAGTTGTACCATATTTCGAGGTAAGTCGTATATTCTTAACTTGTTATCTCTTTTACTTAATTTTTTTAAATCATTATAGAGAACGTATGTCCGTGGGAAGAAAGCCAGAGGCAGAGCGAAGGCAGTGGCAGTCCGTTACGCACCAGTACTATGGAATCATTATCAGGCAGTGCTTGATGGTACAGCAAGAACAAATAATGCGTCAGAAGGTTGGCACAATCGGTTCCAGGTGATTGTGGGCAAGAAACACCCGAGCCTTTATACTTTCCTCACGGAGCTGCAACATGAACAAGGCGACACCGAAACACTGTTGCGTCAAATTCAGTTGGGCCAAGCTGTTCGCAAAAAGCCCGATGGTCACTTCGTCACAGTCCAGGATCGAATAATGAACATCGTGATGCGTTATGACGAATACGTGGAGGACGATTCGCAGCTTAAATATATCAAGGACCTTGGCCACTACCTACACCTTTAATAAAGGATTACTTTTTTATATATATCTTTGTTTTATTTTTCTTGGGGATTTTTTTGGGGCCTACAATTTTTGGATTTTTGGACTTTTTGGATATTTTAGATTTTGGACTTATTTTTGCCGTTGGATCTTGCGGTCTGGATCTTTTGGATTGGAGGTTTTGGTTTGGAGATTTTGTCCACCAATCTGTACAGGGTCTCAAAGTTGGAATTTGATTTTTTCAATTTTATTCTGATTTTCTAGGGTAAATGTGAAAAAATTATTGAAACATGATTTTTTATGTGAAATTTGATGAGAAATTCTGATTTGTTGTCAAAAATCATATTCATAACCTTTTTACCCATTAAAAAGGGGTAATAGCTGTAGCAGCATACTCCATGCCTGCTACAAGACATGCAACTATATCCTGAGCTCAAAGCGTAGAACATAAGAAATATTATTATACAAGTAGACGCAGACGAGCCCCCAAACGTACTGATTCCCACACCTCAACCTTAAGATTCTCCCACATATTCTAGCACCCGAGACCTGCAAAAAAGAAGAACTAATCAACACGAGAAGACGATGAGAACAAACGAGCATAAGGTCGATATGAGTAAATGATACAACTGGCGCCGGCATGATATGCTTACAGAAGCACGACAAAAGACATCGAGCAAGCCGATACAATGTCTCTCCTGTTGAAGCACCACCAGACAGACAAAACAAAACTTGAAGTTGAAGCACATGTAGACCAAACCAAAAGCCTTCGTATACGCTGGATATTCTTGCAACCAGACGTATATAAAACAGAACAGTAATAAAAATAAGAAAAAAACAGATCAGACGCACTTGATGTACAGTAGGTTAGCTGAATATCTACAGCTGATTTAAGATGCATCTCAGGTAGCAAAATCTGAATACATTTACCTTCAAACCCATATAATATTTACGACACACTTAACAATCCACTGAAGCACTAAAGTATTCACGAACAGACGAACACCTGTCAACAAACGACGAAAAATCAACTCCGCTAATAGCAGTACCGTGAGCTGCGAAATGAGCAGACGAGAAGTAAGACAATAACCGACCACTCATCGATCATTATCGATTGCCAAGCTTTCGGGTTAGAATTCAATTCACCCCCCCACCCCCCNCCCCCCCCCCGTGACACCGTGTTAATTGCTCTGTATCTATCCGAAACGAAAATAGAGCATTGTGACGACGAAGAATTGTACAACCGAATTACACGGCAACTTATCATTATTCTTTCCTTTGTATTTTTAACGTTTAATATTTTGAGTCTGAAAATCTTCAGAAAAGTATCTTCTTCCACTGAGTCGGAGCAGAATTCGAAAAAATTGCATAAAACCTAACGTAAACGTCAAAATACGGCAACTTTAAAGTAAATCGAATATTTTAACAATTTTAAAAGCCACACTTACGCGTACTACTAACTTACCATTATACGCACTCCGAACATATCTACTTCGATATTTATCAGTTGTAAACGCGGTACATCGTTTCAGACAGTTGATGAAGCGAATTTCACTTTAAATTATTGATACTCACAAGGTAAGACCTTCCAATTTTAAATCGCGAAAAGCTGAATACTATTTTCATTTTACACATTTAAGCACTCGGAAGAAAAATAAAAAATATTTTCCAAACTCTGCTCTGCTTCGGTAGAAGAGGGTATGTTTCTGAAGACCCCACAGATCAATATTCAAAAACAGTTTATCGCAGAATCTCGTAGTCAATCAATGTGATCTCAATATTTAGTATTATTAGGCATTGTCCTGATATGAGTTAACCGCGAGCTGGCGCACTTGTGTTATCTGAAATATTACCATTTTTATTATTTCTACAGTGTAACGTCTGCAATAGTCGAGTAAATTCGTTTTACTGACAGTTAATATAACCTGCAACTCATTGTTTATCAAATTACCTGTCTACGAGTTCAGATTTTCTTTCCGTTAACTGAGCTCCTCGTTGTTTCAACCACTTTTTCAACTATAGTCAATAGTCAATTTCCCATATTCAGTTGAATTCGATTGAATTGTTTCACTCGACATTTTGAATCTTGCGCTTCTTTTCGCTATACATAGCAGCAAACGAAAAACTTACCGTGCGCATGATTTCAGATAACACAATAGCGCCATCTCTCGGCCAATACACGTGGAGACAATGCCTAATAAAAAAAGTAATGTAATTGAGATTTCAGAGCTTATGTAGGCGTTTTTTTGTCATGTGTAAGATGAACATATTTTACTAACAAGAAAAAAACCTACTATTTTGATTTATATGATCACTTCTAAAAAGTAGCTAAAAAGCATCTAAAAATTTTTTTTTTCCGCTTATTTTTGGCGAATCTTCTTTGTTGCGTGATTGTACATTTTATGACTATTGTAAAAGAATGAAAACATGATTTTTAATGTAAAGTTGAATGAAACATTTGAATTTTTAATGCATATCAGTCGTAGATAAATATTGAAGAAGCTATAACTAGTTTTTTACCAAAAACCTGGATTTTTACTATGTAGAAATATATTGCGCACAAAAAATTTTGATTGTAATTTTGTTAATTTTCAAATTCTTCTATCTTTGTCTATTTAGATGGTACCGAGACGATTTTTTGGTTTCTTAAAAACATTGTCTCCTTTAAATCCACTTATATTATAAATGGGTTCGAGTCAATATTGACTTACCAGTAGTATTTGAGCGCAACACTAAAAATTACTGGAAAAAATTAATTTTTTAAACAAGTACCCGTACTAGTAAATTAATTGTCAAAATATAACATACACGATCGCAAAGTACCTTTTTCAACAAATAATTTGAAGGAAAAGAGCTCCCTAAGATTTTTTTTGCTTCGTGTAGGCCATTTTAAGAGTACCAATTTAATTACGCAAAATATCTCAAATTGAGTTACTTTCAGCTAAACGAGGCGAAATTTTATCTACTATCATACTTTTTTCAGTATTTTTAGTATTGCGTTCAAACCCTACTGGCACGATTTAAATAGACGAAGATAAAAGGATTTTTATTAAAAAATTGTCAAAATTTCGATGAAAATTTTTGTTGCGCAGTGTATTTTCACGGGGTGAAAATACACGTTTTTTGGTATAAAATTAATAATAGCTTCTTTAATGTTTATCTATGACTCATGAGCATTCAAAATTCAAAAAGTTCATCAAATTTTACATTATAATCTATCTTTTAATACTTTTTCAACACTCATAAAATTTACAACCACGAAACAAAGAAGATTCGACAAAAATGAATTCAATGAACTCGATTTTGAAGGGCTGAAATTTTGCACAATTTTTTTGGTTCATAGATTACTTTTCTACTTGATCTAGGCCAAAAGAAAAAAATTGTCTTTATAAGTTTCAGTCTATTGTATAAGTCCTCAAACTCACGAGTTATTTAAAATTCATATTTTTACCTTGATTTTTCATGACGTCATTTGGCAGTAATGAATCTTGTTGCTTATTAGTGTCAACACATGGTATTGTAGTATTACAATTACTATCTTTGGTCTGAAAGTTTGTGGCAGTTGATATAGGTGCTAGCGAGCTTTCATTTTGTTTATTAGTTCCATTTTTGCCCACAACTTCTAATTCACCTTTTATCTATGGCAAAGAAAAAAAATAAATTTTATAAAAATATTCAATGCAAATTCTTTTTAATAATTTAATTGGAATATGTATTTTATAAAATTACAACAAGTATAATAATGAACCAAGAATGCATAGGGTATTTATAGGATGATTAGGAGCCTCTTTTTAGAAAGTCGATATTGATTTTCTGGCTGAATCCAGGAAATGCTTGCAATATATTTGATGCATAAATACAATCTTCGATATTTTTGGCAATTATTATAAAGTAAAGGTAAAGCTGTTACTGCTACTTCTGCTAGCACAACTCAAAACTGTTTCTATAGAGAAACTAAGTATTTGTTTATGTTTTGATAACTAAATTTCAACATCAAAAGCAGAACCAAGAGAAAAAGTAGCAATAAATAGTGAATTACAGCTAAATGTAAATACGAATTTTCTTCTATCACATAGATGTCCAAAATGAATTTTAAAACAAAGCCATTCAATGTCAAAACTGAAGAACTAAACATTTATGACAACTCGACCGAATTCTCAGATTGATCACGAATTGCAAAATAGCGGTAAACTACTAAAATAATCGAAAGAAATAATGAAAATTGGTAAATATCGCATTTTAGAAATATGAACATGTTATAATGACTTATGTAATTTGTTTTGAAGTCTCAAAATTGAGGAATGATACTTCATATGCCCAAGAATCGAAAATAAACAAAAAACATCGATTTTATAGTCAGGTTTGGTGTATAACTTCCCTTAAATAAATTTTAGATAATCTAAACACCAAAAACAGACTTCAGAGTTCTTTTTCTTGGTTAAATTTTCATTTTGAAATTTTATTCTAATTTTGTTATTTTTTAATTTTATTTATTTCATTAAATTTTAAGTTTGTTTAAACTTTAATTTTTTTTAGATTTTTTTCCGAATTGTTTTAGGATTTTCGAATTAACCCGTAAATGGCTACACAAATATTACTCAGATGCAATAATACTTCATGATATAAAGAATGAATTAAGAGCTCAAAGGCGGCTTAAATAATAATATATTTCTATTTATAGTATTAAGCTGAAAAGGTGAAAAAATTTTTTTTTCAGAAAACAAAAACAGGACCTGGTCAAGAAATCAGAAACAGGCAACACTTAAATTAACTGGTATGAGTCTATAAACCTTCAGCGATAAGCATTTGGGATATCTAAGCTGTTTGCCTTAAGATTCCAAGTGTTTGCATGATACGACTAAGTTTTATGTGGTTTCATTATCTTTGAAATCTTTTTCCTCTTCGTCTTCAGACCATTCTTCGTAACTGTCACTTTTCTCTTCAAAGTTATCGTCTATTGTATTCTTTTGTTCAAAGTTATGATCATCAGGTTCGGATTCAATCGATAAAGTTGTAAGAGCATTCATATACTCGTTTACATCTATCTCTTCTACTTTCTCTATAGCTGTCCTAACTGAGTTCACCTGCGCGTATATGACTTTGTTTTTTGTTTCTTTATTATACCCGCGAGTGTCATTTTGACAAAAATAGCATTCATTTTCGTTCGAAGGCTGATTCCATACCGTTGGTTGACTGTATTTTACGTGAACATCTTCTTTTGTACTTTCCCACTGAGAAAACATTTTACGACATTTCGGGCAAACATTATTAGGGGTCCAACATTGATTGGTTAAATCGGTATGTAATTTGAAGCAATTTTTATAAATTTCTTTGAGTTTTTCAGTGAATTTTCGCCGATCATCTCGTATAGGAATAAATTCCGCACATACATAGCAAAATGCATAAAGATTTTTTGTACAAATATGTTTAGTAGAAGTTGTAGGTTGTGAGTTAAGGTTTTCCATAGTTATATATTAAACCCGCACGATATCGGGATCGGGATCTTGGTCCGATTGCAGGTGAGTCTGCCGTTCCGGAAGTGATAACCCTTATACCTCTCCAAGGCTAAGTATAAGGGCTTTCCGACTTTGATGAGGACAATGTCAACTCGTCGTCGGACAAACAACGGCTTCATTCTCACACCCTATTGCTCCCTGCAAGGCAGTGCAGTTCCACTGGCATTGTTACCTCGAAAAGCTGATGTTCGGATCATTCTACAAATCCCATTTCGGGCAGTTGTCACCGTCATCAAACTTATCGAGGCAGCAGGAAAAAACAAGAAGATAGCAAGGTGTGTTGCAAGACAGTGTTATCACTACAAACACTACGTTACATAGTGTAAAGATGAGTAATATCATTATAATACAGAGAAATATGACGTTTTGTCCATTTACCTCTCATGCCGATCCACCTAACTTTTCTCTACTTTCTTATAAGAATATACTTGTAGTTGATTTATTTTTACACAACGAACATTGTATCACAAAATTTTAAAATGCATGAATATATCGTTTTGAAAGAAAGTAAAATCCATTGAAAGCACATTTTTTTACGTTTTGGAACCCAATTACACAGTGAAAAATCAAAAAACCAAAATTATATTCACATGCAATGGAGTCCTATAAAAAGTTTAATTGAAGCTATATGAACGAATATATGATAAAATTTTTTATCACGAAAAAAAATGAACAAGTAAGAAATGCGGATTATTCTGGTTATTTTAATGATGCAACGAAGCATGATATAATATACTTCAGCCAGCAGCTCTAACTCAAAATCTATAATCGCTGCATTACTCATCGAATTGCCTGTAAAAAGTCTAGATCAAGTTAGTCTGATGATTAAGTCAAGAAATCTGGTTGACATAAACATGAAATATTCTGTAGAGAAAGTAGAAGAGATAGATGTGAACGAGTTTATGAATGCTCTTGAAACTTTATCGATTGAATCCGAACCTAATAATCATAACTTTGAACAAAAGAATAAAATAGACGATAACTTTGATGAGGAATGTGACAGTCATGAAGAATAGTCTGAAGGCGAAGAGGAAGAAGATTTAAGGAATGAGTTTTTACCATTTACAGAAAAATCTACAATCGTAAAAAAGTTTTCGCAAGCTGAATTGAATGACTTAGTAAGTGACTTAGGGTTACCTAAAGATGGAGCAGAGTAATTAGCTTCCACTTTAAAACGCAGAAATATGCTGGAAAAGGATACAAATGCATCTTATTATAGAGCCAGAAATGAAAGTTTTAACAAATATTTTGAAGAAAAAAAGTTTGATGATGAGATATTAGTTTATCGTAATAATGTTGAAGGTCTAATGAGAGAAATTAAATGTAATATTTATAATTACAATAATTTATAATACAGATGCTTACACCTATTTTTTATGATTTGACCTTTAAATGACCTTCAAATGACCTTCAAATGACCTTAAATCGATCTGATGGCGAAAAACCGATGACGGATTCGGATTCAGTGACCCCAAAAATATAAAGTCTACTGGGTCTGGTCTCTGGTGGGCCTGTGTAATGATCCATCAAAGAAAATGAAACCACATACAACTTAGTCGTGTCATTCAAACACTTGGAATCTTATGGCAAACAGCTTAGATATCTCAAATGCTTATCGCTGAATGTTTATAGACTTATACCAGTTAATTTAAGTGTTTGTAAGTACTTAACTGGACAAAGTACTTTCAAATGGGGTATTGAAAAAGGCTCTTATGCCTATTTTCTGAAAAACAAAATGTTTTCATCTTTTTAGCTTAATACTATAAACAGAAATATATAATTATTTACGCCCCCTTTGAGCCCTTAAACAGACTCATTTGAAAACTAAGTATATTACTATGATTTCAAATGTATAAATTATCATTTATTCAACTCATTTCGACGGTCCCCACGAAGAGTATCACGTTTGTGTGTTAATTTAAATGGAAACGTGTTACTCTTCGTGGGGACCGTCGATTTAAACTTCCTGCTGATAGCTAGAGGTCGACAACTGCGAGACCCCATAAACAAATACACAAGCGGTATTTGAAGAAATTTTACGGACGTTAGTTTTTCTAAACAAGACTTTATATTATCGAAAAATGTAAGTCTTGAGACAAACCAAGCAGACAATAATTTTGATTCATATTCATTGAAAAAATGGAATTTATTAAGAAAATTCATGACAAAAATTAAATCGTACCTCTATATCGTTTTTGTTATCAGGAATTGTTATTTCTTGATTATTAGCGTCCATATTTGTAATTGTTGTAGGTTGATTAATGGTCGTTGCAGTGGTAACAACTGGTGGTACTGTTACTGTAGGTAAAGATTTTGTTGCAGGTATTCCTTCATTAGAAGTAATTGCTTTTTCCCAGTCATAAGGGTCATTCAACTGTATACCTCTTCGATGCATACATCTTTCAAATAAACTGCATAACATTGAATAATCCGGCTGATCAGCATATTCTAGATTCTAAAATAAAAATAAGTTCATATCAGAACAATATTTCTTAATTTTAATAATAGACTATTACATAAAAGATAAAAAATACTGCTATTTATAAGGTTTTGATATTGTTAATGATTTTTAGAGTTGTTTTACAAAGTTCGATGCATGCATCGACCTTAATACTCTCCATTTACACAGCGCCTGTAACAAACCCACCACTTAAACTTCAATATGACCGTTGCCATAAGGCGCTCGAACAAAGCAATTATTTCGGCAACGATGCAGGACAGTAACGTAAACGCGCACAACGATGTACGTTGATACATGTGAACAAACTAAGAAGTGTGCATGACACAGCACTGCATCAAGATACACACGATTTACATTTTTCACAATACACAATGTAAGTGTATGTAATTCCGATCCATTTCTCTGCACAATCCCCTCGAACTAAGTCACTATGATAACTTTAAAGTTGCTCCAAAACTCACTGTCCTAAGTAGTTTTATTTAGGACGAGTTTTCAACACTCTGGTAGGCAATTAATTTAGCTTTTTTTGTGTGTTCATTGTAGAAAATCGTTTCAATCAATTAAGGCTGCATTAGCTTTTTGAATTTGACCACAAATATAATATGTTTGTCAAATTTTAAAAAATCGTCGTTTTTCCTCATGCTGATAGATTTGGGTTTTATCTGAGATCTGATTTGGATTTTCTCACTTTTGTTTACGTCAGTGTACAACTTCCAGCGAATTCATTTATTATTTTATCGAAGAATAGTGATGTTTTTATATTGTCGAAATTTTTGTTAGTTATACATGGGTCTAAATAATATTTTTAAATTTTCGTCCGCACATATGTCACCGATCTTGACTCGCTTTTGTATGTTATAGTACATGGTAAAAAGGTCCCAAAAACAAAATTTTAGACCCCTTCCCCCCTCCTACCCCCCACCCTGCTACAAACGTCTATTTTTGTTCTATTTTTATTCTGAAGCCCTGAAGCAATTAAAAAATCTGAAAAAATTCATGAAGGTACGTTTTAATAATCCAAACAACGTAGCATATTCAAAAAAGATATACGTATGTAAGCAATTCTTTACAAAAAAACACAGTTTTGCGTACAATAGTATCAAAAATTGTTTTCACTTGACGCAGGTACTGACCATGGGAGGATGAACTAAGTGTCGTTGAAGAAATGCAATTTTTTAATTTCGACTTTAATTTTTTTTCCATAAAATCAGTTGCGAACCTTAAAATAGCGTCTTTGATACGGCGTTGTGCAGAGAAGCTTCTTACTCGGAGGTGTTACGATCCGCGTAACAATAAATCATTATTAAATAAAATAGTCGAAAGACTAAGTGATAAAATTACAGGCATCCCTCCGTATTCGCACTTAATGCATATCCAAAAAGTACCGTGACTACGAAAACCGCGAATATGGAAACTTTAGTCTTATGGGAAAACGGGTAATTAGTAGACCTTAATTGAGGTGAAACCTGATTGATTGGAGTTTTACAAAAAATTTTTTGTAAAAAATGGTGTAATTAAATGCAGTATAAAAGAAAGAGTAAATTAAGATCTTCAAAAGTAGTCTGTTAATCGCACGAATAAATATAATTTTACCACAATAAACAAGTGGATCTTTTATGAAATTGTGTGATATATGTTTTATTTTTTCATTAAGTTATTAATATAAAACAGTTTTACAAAAATTAATAAAATACTGGCATGATAATGGTTAAAGATTAATAGCCAGTATACTTATTTAATTGAATTTTTGCACTGGCTCAATAATGGTAACCAGTACAGTACCAGTATTCCTAACCAGTACTGGTTTTTTTTTATCATTCCCAGTATTTTGCCAGTATTGGTCCAAGATAATAAAAAACGGTGCTGGTTCCTCAGCGTATAGCCAGTACTGGTAGCTTCTGGCTTGGGTATGAGTACATATAAAAAATGTCTATCAAATTAGAAATATTCAATATTTTAAAATAAACCTAAAATTCAAGTTTATATAGATCAAGTACCACTGAAAAAAAGTGATGAAAATTTTTTTATGTCTATAAGTTAGTTTTTTATATCAATTTTTATTTAATTATGTGAGTATGTATTTTTTTTTCATTTTTATTTTGCTTTGAACGATGATTTAAAGCATATTTGGTCGATTTATGCTTAACGATTCTTACAGTTCTTGCTCTGTACAATAAGACACAAAAGTTAGTAATTCTATCAACGATCGACCTAACTTTTTATCTCTTTTCTTTATATTTTTACAATTCGGGGAAACCATTTTTCAAAATTAATAGTAAAATTTCTTTACAAAACAAATATACGTTTTCCTCGTGAAAGCAACCATAAAACTGATCATCGAATTTGCTTAAAATAAACTTTGTTTACATTGTTTCTGCTATTGAGTATCTGTACGAGTATTCTACTACTAGTGTAAACACGTAATTTCTTGTTATGTTTTTCAAAATTTTTCAAAATTTTTGCTCATTATATCCGACTCGAAAATCGAAACCGCGAGTTAAAACCGTGAATGGAACTGCATACGTGAATAATGAAGGATATCCACATTTACAAAACCGTGAGTAAGCGAAATCCGCGAATACGGTGGGATGCCTGTACATTTAAATCACGGCGGTGCGATAAAAATTACTTCACGACATGGGATGACGTGTATTTATTAAATTAATGTTGCTTGATAAAAAAATAAAGTGGGAACGTTCAAACCTGATATCGCTCAATTCATGGTCACGTGACACAATTGTTAAGAAATTTAAATAAACGAGTTGCGTAGGAAATATCCAAGATTTTGTAAATGTGTAACCTGTAGATTTAGGTCAAGATAAAGGGTGATGAAAATTCTACATCTGAGAGCAATGAGTATCATTCGTCATCACGTGCAAGATAATTTAGTTGTACGTGGGATGGATTTTAGGATATATAAGGAGGATTATCACTTTTTACCGCGATTTTTAATTATCCGGTCTTATGTTCAATTGTGTCACGAATCCAACATGAAGTGTCATTGTTATCGAGGCAATATCGCCCATGTAAGAAACGAAAAAATCCAAAACCACGAAGAATTTCATCAATGAATCGTTGGAACGTCTGTCCAGCATTTCGTAAACCGAATATCATGCATGGAAATTCGAAAGGGGTAGTAATTGCTGTTTTACATATATCGTCCTTGGCAACGGGAATTTTCCGATAAGCCATCACCAAAACAAGCTTTGAGAAGACAGTACAGTCATCGATGAAGAAAGAGGTATCATGAATATGTCGAACAGGGTATCTCTCAGGGATTGTCTAAGCATTTAATACACGATAATCAACACAAGGGTACCACCCTGATTAACCTTTTAGTGCTGAGTGCAAATGCGATGACCAGGAACTGACTGAGATACGAGTCGTACCAGCTAAAATCGTGTCATCAAATTTTTTTCGTGCCACTTTCAATTTATGAGGGCCAAGTCTTCGAGGATTACAAGCTATCGTAGGCCAGGTGTTGTGCGGATGTGATGACTAGTCTCATGTTTTACAATGCGAGGAAGACCAAGTGGACGTCTAATAGTGAAGAATTTCAACAAAAGCTCGGAAAAGACATATTGAATATCGATGATCTTGACACTAAATTGAGAATAGGTTTGAAGTAAACATTGCAAACGTAGGTCAGTAACACTACCAGTCATTGCCTTTGTGCTACAATCAGGTAACAGATGATAATGAGCGAGAAAGTCGCTTCCGAAGATGGATACATTAACGTCTGCTACAATGAATCTCCACGTGAACATACTGCGAAGTTTCAAGTCAAATTTAAAAGTAATAAGTCCGTAAGTTTTTATTTTACTTCCATTGACAGTCAGCAATTCAAAATTTACAGAAGCTCGTTTATCACGTAATAAGTGAGGAGAAATCTAAATTTTGACCGAGTGTCAGTTGTCATCAATCTTAGCAGCTACACGAGCATCCAGTCGCGAAATAATGGGGTGGAATTTCGTTACCTCGTTAACGATGTTTGAGAGCACGAACTGTGAGTCAGCCTGTACAAACCACAAGCTTGGTTTATCAGCCCAGAAAGGTAAAAGCTTATCTACAACTCGATGAATAGCATTATCAGCGACTGAAGCAGGAGCGGGATCAAGTACAGTGGCAGGCCAGTGGTCAAGTTATTGTTGACAGTCGAGCTGCTGCTGAAGATCAAGTTGCTGTCGATGGAGTTCTTCCAAACGCTGCAATTACCTATTTTCATTGCGCAAGACTGCAGCAGGATCTATTTTACATTCATCGTGAAACATCTTATGCAGATTAGGTAAGAGGAACGTAGAAGATGAATACGACGATTTTTTTTCAGCTTGTTGCAGTAGCGAAAGTGTCCAAAACTCAGAAAACGCTATAAAATTGTCCATAAGAGGATAGTCAGGGGCACCAAATACAGAATTCTAACGAGGTAGGATCGACATTATGTAATTGTATCTCAACAAGATCGTCATGAGATCAGATAGTCGAATGATCGTTATCTCAACGTCAACTGTGCGTCAACTGTGCGAACATGTTTCAAAGAACACGTTAATTACTTATGGTAACCTCTGGCATTTTTCTCTAATTACGTCAGCGTAGCCACAATTCGTAGGACAGCAGATCCTTCAATCGGGTGGAAATTGATATGAATAAATCAAATATATAATTAATTTAGTCATAATGTGATCATTGTATGTCAAAAAACAGCTTAAAGAATATAGTATTTTTAATAACATATATTTTATCCTCCACGTGTAATTGCGTAAGTTTTACGTACCTGAATATGCTCCAAAAATACCCGTAGATCAGATGGTAAATGTTTCAATAACAATTTATGGTCATAATTTTCTTTCATTAATCCGACCTGTAAATCATATTTTCATTTGTTAATGAACGAATTCATGTTTTTAATTAAAAGTATAAAAAATTGTAATCTTCAATTAGAGATGTTTTTTGTATTGTACTTTCTCAATGTTGTGTGTTGTGTCAGTGAGCTCTGTGATACAGAGCTGAAAATGTATCAAAATATAAGTAAAATGATATCTGGTCGAAAGGATTATTCTTCTATTTTCCAACCCTTTTTTCAAGCATAAATCACTTTGACACGCCCGAAATTAACTTGAATATAGTCTAGTTTTTGTAGTCAAATAAAAATTCCAAAATTCAATCATACCTCCTGTATTGTAGAATTTCAATAGATACAATGACTTTTAAGACCCCAGGGTTGCACCACTTTGTTTGTTAGAACTTTGGATATGGTCATTACTATATGCAATGCTTTTAATTAGGCCTTTCTATATTTTTCTACATTAAAACCAATTTTTTTTTATCAACTTTTACCCATTTTTTTGCACATTTTGAGGTAGTCGGCTTATAAAAAGTCCTATCCAAAAATCTTCCCTGTAATAGCGACTATGCCCATTGCAAGGGGGCGGGAGGCTCAGTAAGGGGGGGGGGGGGGGGGTGTGGGCCATCGTCAATCGAATCACGAGCGTTGACTCGCGTCACCAACTTACCGTCAGATGTCATTAACTAAAAGAAATTATCTTAACAGTACTTAATTTATTTAATCTTGAATTATATGATCTGGGCCACGCAGGGCCCGTGCTGTAAACTCGCCAACGAATATTTACTTTCCGCTCGGTGCGTATCGTCGATACTGACTTCCGTGTACGGAGCTTAGCGCGCAACTTCCGAGTCACGCGTGTATCACGCGAGCAGCTGATGATGCCAAGATGGCCGACACACGTGCGCTCTGATAAAACTCCACGCGCATACGTACACGACGATGAACGCCAATGCACGTAATGTTAAAACAATAGCTGAGCTAAGTCACGCGGGTTACTGCTTTGGTTTGCAGATTCATAAAAAAATATTACTAAGCTGGGCTTCGTGGGTGACTACCTTGGTTTGCATTATCTTACGTTCTCTAACATCTTTAAATCGGGATCGCTGGTTCAGCTCTTTAACGAAAATGCGTACGATTAAATGGCGACGGTTCTTGGGGGTTACCGACTCGGATGTCATTAACTTTACAACCTTAAGATAACTCATCTGTCAACTCATCTGGGACAACTCATCCCAACGACAATTCATCCTCCGACATTTCATCTTAACGACAACTCATCCAGCAATCCATATTCTTGTATGTGACGCCAAATGCATTGTGCGAATTGGAAATAACACCCATGTATTTCTATATCAGGGAAAGCATCAGAAAACGCGTTGATATACGCTTTTTTGAAGTCGATAATCATACGAGTAGGATTTAATTTTCTACGCGATGATACAAGCATTTCTAAAACATATTTATATACGTCACGGGTACGATAAGTGCTGAGTACGCATACAAGTGAAACTAAAGTTTCTTTATATCTACCCTGTATCGTATATAGTTGATCAAAAATACTAGGCACAACGTCGAAGGTTCCATCTCCTTACCAGATATCGCAACGTCGCAGAAATTTTAAATTGGTTAATGTAGTGAAAGTAAGCACTCGTGTATCGTTTGTGACGTTATAAACATAGACAGAACACTCAAGTCTACCGCAGAATCTGGTAATGCGGGAGCATTTAAAATTTGATTACGCTGACGCTGAATTATGCAACATAGTGACTTTTGATTTGGCAATAAATATGATGTTGTAGCATCAACATTATGCAGACGTTTATCTATAATATTGCATGGATTTTCTGATGTTTTGCTAGCGTCCTTTTTAATCTTCTGCTTCACTTTCATCGCTTTCAAGTCAACACTCTCAAAAATATGATTGTGTTAAAAATTACTCTCCCACAAAACTGTGCCATCTTTTTTGGCAGAACTTGTATCAACACGACACTTACACTTAATATCGTTGGTATAAGTTACACAACGCCAAATAATTTTGTCCGCACTACAACTGTGTTTATTATAAATATAATTATTATGAACAAGCAAGGACGTATTATGCTGGCTTAAAACAAATTTTAACACCATGTTTATTAACGTTACTGCACAGAATCACAGAACACGAATGAGCGTACAGTAATAAGAGCAAGTATAGATAGGTAAATGAGCTGCTCGGGCGCGAGCTTAAATCACACTTAATATCATGTAGATACACAAATACAAAAACACATCGATCGACCTCCATGGCTCAGTGGGTATAGTTCTTGCCAGCTGATACAAGGTGTGCCGTAGGGCGTGGGTTCGATCCCCACTGGGCGAATTTTCGATGGCGTTTTTTCGCCTGGTGTGGTCGAGCCCGTGCCCGATGTGGAGCTGGTACCACTCAAAAAGAAGACCCGGGCTACGTCATTAGACTCCGAAGCGGTAAAAAAACCCCCTATCACTGTGCGAGCTGGAAACGAAGAGGATAACCATAAGTAGGAGGTCTAGGCAATTCGCTTCTGCTTCGCTGGGCCCAACACGTGCATATGCACAGCGACTTGCTTCGTTTCCGGCTCGTGCGGGCCAGCGCCCGTGAGATGGCGACAGTCAGTCTGCCGACTCTCTATGTTTGTTGTGTGTTTTTGGCCTCGAAGTGTGCTTTTGGCCGATATCTCTGCACCAGCTTTGCCACCCGGTGATGCGCTTCCAATATTTTTGCCCTGAAATTCCTATCCAAACATAGTACGGGCTTAGCCGGCGTCTAATATGTAATTCTAATTATAGTTCGAAGTCTTTAGTAAAACATGCTGAAAATTTCATGATAAGTTGCTCACCTATGGAAAAAATGACGGACATGCTCATTATTTGGCTGCAGGATTTGATGCACAAGAAAATTCTTATTGTTGGAGATGTAATACATGAAAAAGCTAAGTATTTTTATAATCATATTCAACGAAATAGCGCAAATCCTTCCTTCCAAACGTTCACAGAAAGTTGGGGGTGGTTTGATAGATTTTTGACGAAGGTTTTTTCTGCATAATGTTTCGTTTATAGGGGAAAAAGCATCAGCGGGAGAGGCAGCTCGTAAATTTCAGGATCAGGTACGAACATTGATTGCTGAAAAGGGCTACGTCGCGGCGCAAATATTTAACTGCGATGAAACAGGATTTTTTTGGAAACGGATGACGAACCGGACCTATTTAATGAAGAAAGAAAAAACTGCTCCAGGATATAAAACTTCTAAAGAAAGGTAGTTACTAACAGCATATTTAATATGTTTAGGCTATATCACGTCAACTGTCCCCCCCTCTTTTTGTTTCTATTTTTCATATTTTATTGTATTTCGCGCCTCCTCCTTCAGAGATCATAGGTAGTCTCCCCAATGTGACCAACTTTACCACACTTAAAAGCTAAAAGAAAAAGAAACTCGGCGCGCCACCGCTGCCGTACCCGGCGCCGCGCCGGTCGCTCATTCCTTTTTTGTGTGCCGAGGAAATCACACACACAATACGAGAGTTTAACCTAACCTTGTAATGTACATTTTACTCTGAGAGATGGGTAAAAGATCCAGAAGGCATGATTCGTCGTCGGACGACGAAAATATTGCTAGAAAGGTTTTGAAAGTAATTAGAAAACTGAAGAGTAAGAAGAGGAAGAGGAGCCGTCATCGTTCTACTTCGAGTTCATGCGACTCTCGGAGCCGATCGGTCCCGCGAGAGGATCGCTCGAGGTCCCGTTCAACATCAGCAGGCCTCTCGGATGTTTCCAAAAGTAAGTGTTTGACGACGGCATAAGCAGACTTCTTGATGCATCACATAGCCGAAAAGCGCAGCTCGATGGGGTCTATAGATCATTGGATTCGAGAGATGCTAGGATTTTATCTAGTACATATGGGTCATATCAGAAATGAGTTGATAGGTCCAAAAATGACCTATCAACTAAATGCATTTCTTAAAAGTACATGAAAAAACAAAACTTTTCATGTGTTTAAAAAGTGCCATGGTTCCTTCCTTCAAAATCTACAGCTGTTCAAAGTTAGAATCTGAAAACTAACTTTTTTCTCCATAGGCCCAATGTAGCTCTGAAAAATAAATCAAACATAGTATTTTTATGTATTTTTTGATAAGGAATTCATTGGTGATATGTAAAAAGTGATTCAGATACTCTAACACCATTAAAAATCAAAAAAATGCATTTTAGGCCCAAAATAGATGTGTTCGTCCTCTTGGATTTGCCTGAAATTGATAGAGTATCATTACAACATCAAAATAAAGTCCTCTACCAAGTGGCATTATCGGTTGGCCAATATCGAGGAAGATATACTACGAAATGCGGCCATCTTTCACTTTTACATCATGATAGACTGAATGTCGACTATCGATACTGCCTAGAGCAATGAACTGCATTAAAAGCAAGCTAGAAACACTAATTTATCTTTTTAAAGTTCAATCACAAGTACTTTCTGCACAGAGTTACACCTTATTCATATGTAATCAATTAATAACTTCATTTATGCTAGATAAGTAATACTAGTATGCACTGTTTGGATTGAATATTACTTCAGCGTTTTTTTCATTCACAGTGGTATTAAATATGAACTCTGTGCAGAAAATACTTGTGATTGAACTTTAAAAAGATAAATTAGTGTTTCTAGCTTGCTTTTAATGCAGTTCATTGCTCTAGGCAGTATCGATAGTCGACATTCAGTCTATCATGATGTAAAAGTGAAAGATGGCCGCATTTCATAGTATATCTTCCTCGATATTGGCCAACCGATAATGCCACTTGGTAGAGGACTTTATTTTGATGTTGTAATGATACTCTATCAATTTCAGGCAAATCCAAGAGGACGAACACATCTATTTTGGGCCTAAAATGCATTTTTTTAAATTTTTAATGGTGTAAGAGTATCTGAATCACTTTTTACATATCACCAATGAATTCCTTATCAAAAAATACATAAAAATACTATGTTTGATTTATTTTTCAGAGCT